CTGTTCCGTCCCGTTTGTCCTGGTTACTTGCCCAAGAAGGATCAACAATCATAAGAAATGGAGCTCTCGATACCATTATAGTGACCTGCAAATCTAAAGTAAAAAAATGACATGCCTTCCTTTCATGATTCAAAACAGCAAATAACTATTTGTTGATATCATAATTGCACGAAAAAATAAACTTTTCATAGATATAAACTCTAGTTTTATCATTAATTAGATGTAATGATATTCAAACACGTCTCAAATAAATTTCATAAGCGATCTAGAATTTGATCCGATGTTCTGTAACTACCAAATGGAACCTCTGCATGTCACTTTATGTTATTTTGTTTTGATTCCTGAATAATAATTCGCATAGCGGTCTATAATTTATTGCTTTTTATTTTCATACAGCCTAATGGTAAAAGAATGATTATATGAAATCCTGAACAAAACATAGTCTTACGCATTAAAAAATATGTCGAAAGCGTCCCTTTTCGTTGTTATGTTCCGGCAACCAGAAGGTACAACACAAGGTAGTTTGTCACCATTGATATCATGTAGATCTGCTATTGGCACTTCCCACCTCCCTTAGAGTATTACAAAAATATATATTTTAAAATGTTTAAAACAGATAAAAAAAATTAAGCATCATTAAAAATATGTATTCATTAATGATTATTTGTGTAAAATTTTTAAAGATGAAAAACAAAGAAAGTTGTTTGCTTTACGATTTCATATAAAAATAAGAACGATTTGAACACTGTTTGTCTTGATAGTTATTTCAATAGTAAAATCAAACAAAATATTAACACGTTGTCTTAAAACATTATGGGATGTTATTCTAATCATTATCTTTTGTACTAAAACATCCAATGCATTTTGTTATAACAAATAAAGTTTGCCGTTTTCAATGTGTAATCAATGTTTCAATACATTTGAGAATGCGTGCAAATGAATGAAAGGAACAAATAGTATAGAAAACCGGAAGAGAAGAAAAGGAAGAAAAGCAATAATTCAAGAGTACAATGTAGCAAGAAGCACTGCAGTATGTAACAAGATTTCATTTTACGTCAATACCTGGGAAAGGCAAAGAAGGTGCGTTTCCGTTATCACAAGCAGCTGTCGGCATGTAGTCAAACGTGTACGGCCAGATTAACGTGTTTGCAGAAGAGAATGACACGCTTGAACATGATGAATCATATAATAGGTTGCTGCTACCGATACCTTTATCAAACAAAAATGAGAAATTTATTAACCTTCTACGTATAGATCTACATTGCATCCGAATGAACTTAGGTATAATTATATACTATCATCAACTAAAGCATAAAAGTAGTACAAATCAAAGGCACATTATGCTTCAGAAACAAATAAATTGTTCCTTCTTTATAAATGACAAATATGAATTTGATGGTTTTTGAGCATGTAAGATGCTTGTTACCTAAAGAAAGAAGCGTTGAAAGTTAAATGATTTGTCATAAAAGTAGCAAAATGTAAACAAATAGTATTTAAACTTCCATACAAAATACTAAATCACTACAACTGTTATACATGTTCTTATTGTCATAGTGTATCAGCTTTTATACGTAATTAGCCAATGAGTAATTTTTTTTTAAATAACAACAGTATATCAAAAATAGAAAGCGTCTGAGAAGTAAGCTCAGCAGCATTTCTAGGGCATAACGGAACTCAGATGGTGTTTTTTATTTTCAGTATACATTTTGTTAGGTCAATCGAACACAAAACCATTGATTTGATTGGTTAACTGTGTTTCAGAATATTTTTGTTACTACCTTTTGAATAAAAGCATTACATGCACAGATATGCAGTGGATTCTTATTTTCAAATTGCATTAGCTGTTGGTGAATATTGTATTGACTTTACATTTAATATACTGGTATTCAGTGACCATGATAAAATATTATAAGAATGGACATACCAGTCATCTCAGCATTTCCACCCATTGCAAGTTGTGGTGCTCGCACGCCTTTCACTTCCTTTAAATCAATATTGTGTCCTTCAAGTTCCGAGGATACTTCTGGTAACATATATTAAATAACAAAGATCAAGACTATTCCAAGATTCAACTTACTTTGGTTTCATACTATTTTGTTTGTATGGTTATGTTCTGTCTCTTGATATTAAAACAAATGAAATATTTGTTATACCATCAATATTTTGTAAGACATTTCTAAGCATTACTAAAAAAATCATATTTTAGTGATAATCTCTTCATTTTATTAGCGAAAGGGTGATCAACTATTTGAACTATAGATTTGTATTAAATCAGCACACCTCCAGACAAATATGCATTTTTAAGTAAACAGTTGAAAATTGTGAAAAGCCAAAAACTGTCTAGATAAAGCGATATGTCATTGTCTTACTTCTTACGTCTTACTTCCAATGGTATTGCTAGTCTAACATAGAAATACGCAACCAGCACGTAATCACTTAGTAACGAAGTAAAATATTACCATAGAATAGTAAATCATGCAAAGTGTATCTTGAATATTAAAAGATTATAATTTACAATTAGAATTTTTTTATTTACGTATTCATCTGGAGTCGTGCAAGACAATTCAAGACAATATAAAGATCTAAACGTAACAAACTTTTGATCATATCTATCCAGCCAGTAGAAGAACTCGGGGCATTCCCGTCAACCGACGATATCCCAATTTCATGGCCATCACTACTGATGTCTTTTACTAGATCGTACGCTGTCCCAGAATCTTCAATGAAAAATGTTCCTCTAGCAGGACAATTATTTGGATTAGTAACACTTTGAAAAATTGGTAGATAATCCTTTATGTTATCCGAGTTTATTGTTCCCTCAAACGACACCATTACGATCTGTGGTGTTTCTGATTTCTGTAATGCATTTAAAAGAAAGGAAAGAAATACAAAAATAATAACAATTTATTATTTTTTTATCTGTAAGACCAAGAAAGATCTTAGTTTGTAGGAAATTAAAATATGTTTTACCGTATTGACGTCTAGTTCTTTACCTAAGCTTATTAAATGGAGAGAAATAAATAGTCCCTAAAGAACTCTCTAATTTAAGCTAGATTATTGAAAATATTCTATGTTCGTTTGAATGACTTTTGTGTGTACCTCAGAGACATTTTCATATTAAGAAACGTGATCATAACTTTGGTAGTTGATGTTTTCGACTTATCATGATGTTACTTTACATTGTAACATATTTAAAGTAATAAGTCAATAAATGTTCACTGACCGATAAACTACCGGGTATAGTACGATCGTCGTAACAGCGGCAGTTGGGAATGGTACATCTTTTCGGGTCACATTGTTGTAAACTTAGTCCAACCAATGCTGATAATAGCAGCAATGAAAGCCTCATGGTTGTATTGCTGAAATTCAAATATTAATATCAAGTTTCATGAAACTTTTATACATGACAATAATGATATACAACTACATATGATAATTGATAATTAAGATATTTTGCATGAAACAAATTCGAATGTTTTAGTTTCGTCAAGGAAAAAGCAGAACACTGTAAATATCATTTAATTTCATGAGTTTTTTTAATGATGTTTCGCCCCCCCCCCCCCCAAAAAAAAAAATCCAACGTCATTTTATATTTAATAAATGTAATACATTAGGCGTTATAATTGAATCATGATTTAAGTACGTATATTTAACCATTTAACTATTTAAATGAAATACAAATGTAAGCAACGATAAGGGTTTGTTTTGAGGTAGCCAAGACAGTTTTGACAAGCGGTATTCTTTAACCATTAACTAAACTTTGCTCAGTATTATTATTTTGATATAAAAACTTCACAAGTCCGATCGCTTAGTGCTATAGGGATAGCATCGGTTTTTTAATCCATGGGTCGGTGGGTGATTCCATTTTCGAGTGAGGCGAATGTTCTCCGTGACAACTGATCTCGGATATTGATTTTTTATTCGTCTCTTTACTGATTTTACTGATCACTCGAAGAGAATAAGGTATATACTGTGTTTGTTATTCAGAAAAGCAAATATGTGGATTGACAACTGATATATGACAATTACATGTTAAAATCGGCGTAAAGAAGAAAAGAAATAGACACATAAACGAGCAACCTAACTTAAAGTCACCGGAGTATTACAAATTCAGCCGGTTTATTTAATCAAAAAGATCTTACCTCATTTGTGTCCTGCAAATTATATGTTAAAAATCGAAAGATGAATGATAGAAGCGGAAGTGTGACATATTTTATACCAAAAGATAAAAATGCAACGGCCAATACAATTTTCGACAAGAGGAAGATTAAACAAATTTGTTCAGTCATAGTGATATTATTGTTTAATTAAACACTGTGTCGCGTAAATCATTAATATCTAATTGATAATGAAACCATCATGATAAACAAAATTGTAGTAATATATTCAGTAAATGACTAAGGGTTTTACAATTGATATTTTATCGTGCAACGTGTAAAAAACTTTTTTATCATCTAAACGTTTAGATAACGAATTTAAATTAAATTTTGATTTTAAAGTACGTTAAGTATTATAAAGCTGTTGTTTTCGGGAGCAAGAAACCTTACCCTGATAGCTAAGTATTGATTGGTACCGGGAACGTATTCGGGAGTGTTTCAATATGCTTTTTGTAGTTTCCAACATTATCGAAGTAAAATCTATTCGTATAAACTAAAGTAAAATCCTTTCTATTTGTTTATCAAACTTTGCTTTTACTGCATAATGTATATTGAGAAACTTTTTTGAATTCTGACATTAATTCTTTACTCTTCGTTAAAATGAGATATTTGTTTTCTTTAAAAACTAAATGTTAGATAAATCATGAACTACTATATTTCTATTTCAAATTGAAGATTATCACCGCAGATAAAAGACCGATTTAAGTGAAAACAAGCTAGGTTGATGAACTTAATATGTGAATAGTTGACAATATAAAAAAATGACTAGCAATCTGATTTTTTTTCTAATCTGGTCAAATTTTCGATAAGTTTTGTAACAGAAGAAACATGTATTTCTTAACTTTAGATTTAAGATTCTTTTTTTGGCTTTTACACAGAATATATTATAATGAATTTTTGACAGGCGTTTGTGCATCTCTTTTTTCAAAGAGATATCATTTATTACTTTGGCTGGTTCTTTACTGACTGGATCCTTTATTTTTAACAGACTAAATATATAAATGTATTTGATAATATAGTTTATTCAATGTTTATAGTGACTGTGAGCTTAAATTATATTTACATTTCATACTGTATGTCTATGATATTTTCGTAAGATCTCAATATATCACACCAATTTAAATAAATCAAATGCAATATCACCAATTTAAATAATGCAATATACTCAGAGGTAATGAAATGGAAATGGCAGTGAGAAACCTTATAGGAAAGTCTCTTTGAATTTATATGAAACTATTATCTCTTTGTCACTCTGCCTCATTTCTCCTCTGTTTTCATGTATTCGTTTATCAAGAGACTAAAATGATAATAAAATTTGCTTTTAATATACTTCAATCATCTCCATTGCAAGTGCATTTTCAATTAAATCTTGACAAATATTCTAGAGGTTATTCAAATATGGGCAAGTCTGGTATCACTCAATCTAATGCGTATGGGAATTCAAGGAATCGTTTATCAATACCAATAATCGATCTTACAATTGTGAATAACAGTTTTCTGTGGATAAGGTTTATGAGAATATTTCATAAGATACATATTTGTACCGTTGCAACAACATTTGACAGAGAATGTAAACAATTCAAAATAAAAATGAAGATAATTATGAATGTTTTACAAAATTGTTGTTTAAACATTTTACCTGTAAAACCAAAAGAAGGGGGTCTCAAAGTTCTCAAAATTGAAATAAATTTTCTAAATGAACCTGTCCAAACGTTGCCAAATCCAACAATGTTCTCATTGCTAATTTATAAATACTTCAGTGTGAGTTTGTATCTACCAAATAGCAGTGAATAGCTTTGCAGAAAGTATTAGAAAAAGTGGAGAATGCGCAAAAACTAAGATATGAGTTGCATATTTGGGGTGATTAAAATTAATAAAGCAATGTCAAAAAATTTATATTATGATTGGTCTTATTGCTGTCAATAAACATTCCAATCAATCAGAATAGTTCTTAGACCTTTGTGTTCTTAATTAATACTTCTAACCTGCTACTGCCCCTGAGATTTTGTTTTGTTCATCTGCTTAATCAAATAAAGTTTCTCACCACTTTCCATGAAAGTTATAAACCCAATGGGATTTTTTTCTCTCAACGCCTGATTCATTCAGTTACACCTCGACTGCTTCAAAAATGAACATATTGTATGCTCGAGAAAAGATATTCAATGATATTGATGAGCCTAATGTTGTATGTCTGATTTAATGGTGGCAAGGAGTAATAATCTCCTGTCCGCCCACAACATTCGGAAAATGCGTTCGACACTTATCCTCAAGTTAAAACAACGTCAACTAAGATTGGCTTAATATGATCACGTGTCTGACTGGGTATTGAACCCATGAATAAATCAAGACAGATGTTGAAAAAAAACGAATAACAAAACGATTAACATTGATCATGAATAATTGAAATAGGCAAAAATGTTATAAATGAAATTATCTCACAATATACAACATTTATTTTAGAACCTATTAAAAATTGCATTCGGTTATTTAATTTGAGCTTATTTGTTAATTTTATTTGATTTATTATTTATTATTTATATTATTATAGCTACCATTTTATTAGTTTCATTATTATAATAAGCCGTATTATTATCATTATTATTATTATTATTATTATTATTTTAATAATAATAATATTATTATTATTATTATATTATAATTATTGTTATTATTATGATTATTTTTATTATTATTATTATTATTATTATTATTATTACTTTAAGTTTAACTTTAAATTATTTTCAGATATTTTAAGATTGAAAAATAATTGCTTGAAATATAATTTGATAACAACATTTTGGTGACCTTTCTGTTGAAATGTGTCAGAGTAAATCGTATACATATACATGCAGAGTGCGTTAAATGGAGTGCAGGTACTCCAGAGCATATTCATTGATTGGCTCATTTATGCTGGGGTTTACTTATTGTAACGGCAGAGAAAGGGAGATATATAATATTATCAGATATATCAGATGTTAGTTCATCGTTTACTTTTTCTGTGGTTTCATATTGTGACATGTTTTTATGTTTAACTACGATACAAAAGAGAAAGAACATCAAAACACTCGGCAATCTGATTAATAAAAAGTATTAAATTGAGATGTAATCATTTTAAGGCGTTGTACGAGTAAGTCCTTATAAATCATGAGCGTAGCTATTCAGTTGTGAGAAAAGGCCATGATATGATATGGAAATATTTTTTACAATGTACTGATTTAAATGTATATAAGCAAAATTAATTAAATTACTCACCCATCACGGTCGCGTCTGTCAGCCAACAATATTTTACAATATTTCTTTATTTTGTCAAGATTACATAATAATGTAACAACAGACAATTTATAAATAATATCAGTATTATAACATATGTGGGTTAACAGTTTATATAGAACGAGACATGCAAAAATATTTCGAAAACAACAGTTTATAAGAATAACGTGTCTAATGTTATGAAAGTTTTGATTAAATAGCTTTTACCAGGGGAACAGTGTAAAAACCGGGCATTTTTGCATGTACACAAATAAGTTCTATTTAGAATAATTATACAAGTCAGTTTCTCCCAACTAGTACTTTATATCTAGCAGTTTTCATACTATAAAAAATTGGAGACATTAGAATAAAACTAACAGTATCTATACGTTCGTAATAATCTCAAATAACTGTATAAATACAAAGACACGATTTACTATTGTGTTGCACGATTATTTTGTAGTAATCATGTCAGTCTAGGAATTTCATTCATAAAGTGGATTTAGTCGGTAGCGTTGACCAATCAGAGTAAATTTTACCTGGCGAGTTGTTTAATTTTATTTATAAGAAGAAAGCAACTTATTGTTTCAAAATATATGAAACAAACATACTTAAAGATTTCAAGGTAGCATAGTCGGTACTATTTAACAATTCATTATACTTGATTACATTTGGATGTTTATAATAATATTGTGGGATATATTTTTTCCGTATGACAGTAAAACGTTTACAGGACATAATTGCGTGAAATTCGTCTCCAAGTGTTCGGCACTCTTCGCAGATACGCTCGTTGTATGGAGTATTGTTATATCTTAGAATTTCTATCGGAAGACGGTGATTAGCTGTACGAAATTTAAGAAGCGGTATGTACAAGTTTTTCGGTAATATTGTTAAATAGTCTTCTCTTTTATGTTCTTGTTTATACAAATAATATAATTTTCCTTTGTTTGAGGCTTGTAATTTTCCATTCCAATCTGTTATAAATTGATCTACTAGCACTTGCTTTATTAGTAAATGGATATTTTTTATAGTGATATCTTCTTGATTCAAGAATAGATAAGGGAAACCTGTATTGTTGAAAATATCTTTTACTGAATTTAGCCATCTGTAGGAGTTATCACTTTGAATCATTATTTTGTAAATAATATTTGAATATTTATTCGAATCATTTGTTTTTAAAATATTCCAAAACCGAATTATTTTCGTATTGATATTTATTTGCAACGGATAACGCCCCAATTCCCCATATAACATATAAGCGGGGGTACTTTTCCTTGTATTTGTAATTTTTCTTAGAAAATCTAAATGAACCTTTTCTATGTCGTTGTTATTTTCTATACCCCATATTTCGCTTGAAAATGTGAGTATGGGTAAGATTGTGTTATCAAATAATTTAAGCTGAAGATCTAAAGGTAGATTTAGGTTAAAAATACGTTTGTATAACAAATGCATCGCCTTTTTTGCTTGAGTTATAATATGGTCACGTGCTTTGTTAAATTTGCCAGTCTGACTAAAAACAACTCCCAGATACTTATATTTTTCTGTTATCTCAATAGGACGATTATTTATGTAAAATGTTAGGTTACGAGTACCGCGTTTATTCGAGCCGAAAACAATAACTTTCGTTTTTTTCTGTATTTATTTGCAGTTTCCATTCGTTGCAGTACGAGTAGAAATCATTTAAGCATTTCTGAAAATCTTGAGGGTTTCGCGCCAGAATAATAGTATCGTCCGCGAAGAGAAGAGCTAGGATAGTTAGAGTTTCTATGTTCTCGTCGGATGCGTAGTCTAATGTAATCCCAGAATTGCCTTTTGATGTCAAGTAAGCTAAAAGGTCATTAAGATACAGGGAAAATAAAAGTGGGGACAAATTTTCCCCTTGACGGACCCCAATATCGCACGAGAACATTGCTGAAGTATTGCCATTTAACTGGATACAAGATTTAACCCCTTAATACATATTGCGGATAAGTCTCAGGAATTTTCCGTTTATTTCAGTATCGATTAATTTTTGGAAAAGTTGCGCACGTGTTAAATTATCAAATGCACGAGAGAAATCAATGAATCCGACATATAGTTTTTGTTTTTGTTTTTTTAAAAATTCTATGAGAAAATTCAATGTAAACACATGATCAAGAGTTGACATATTTTTTCTAAAGGCAGTTTGATTTCCATGGATCAGGTTATTTGTTTCGACAAACCTTGTCAGTCTATCATTTAGGACACTAGTGAATATTTTTGAGAGACAGGATAAAATCGTAATGGGTCTATAGTTTTCCGGGGAAAGTTTCGAACCTTTTTCGAGCCATAATGTTTTATCTATAATTTGAAGATTTCTCTGTTAAATTGAAGGTTAACTTTAGAGCTCTACTTTCCCTGTATACAATATAGGAAATCGAAAGTAGGTTACGTTTAACTTTCCAGAATGTCAATGGAAAACATATTTTACCTTATAAATGTTGAAATAACAGGATTAAAATTTCTGTGTTTATAATTTAAAAGTAATCAACTGCGGAAACGTTTTAACAAATAATAAATAAGATCCTATATGTCTTACATTTATGTTTACGAGTTTGGTCATAAGAAATTGAATAAAACGTAGATTATTTATTAAACTAAAATAGATCTACACAATTTACAAGTCTACACAGTCAAAATCAAACATATTTTTTACGAAGTTTAACACCCTATAATCAAATAAAACATGAAATTTACATCAGCTAGCATTCCTCCATTTTGTTATAATTCCGTATTGGTTTTTCTGAAAACGGTAAATCCCATATCGTTACTTTCGATTTACATGCCGTTATACATTGGTCTTTTCACATAGACAATTAAACAGCGCGTTTTCAGAAAATGATTCAATATGAAGAGCCTATCCCTTATCTTTTATCAAATTCTTTTCTTGTCGTTTCTTTAATTTAAACAGATCTATAACTGATAAAGATTTGATTTCCGAAAAATTAACCATTGATAATTATAAATATACTGATAACGCTGACGGCGATAGCTCTACCATACAAATAAAAATATTTACCAACCTGTACATTCATAAACCGGCTAGATCTTAAAATATTAATGTCGAATAGTAAATAAAAGTAAAGAATAGTGCGTGCCAATTGAAAATATACGATTGATTACACCTATTTGCAGATGAAAAGTTGGTGACAAATTACATTTTTTAAATGGACATCAGGGTTCTTAATTAATTAATAACATGTTTTTATGGTTTACTAAAATTATTTCTTCAAAGAAGTATAATTTTGTGTATTATAAATATCAATGTGTATGTGATGGCCTATCGTTCTTAACATGTGATTTGTTATGTATTTAAGTGTTTGAATACATTTTTGTTGAATAGAATTGCAGTATAGACCTTTTTACAATACGATTTTCCATAGCAACGAATGTTGCATTTCGCGCATGCGCATTCTGCGTAGGGCAGAAAGCAATAACGATGTCTACAGTTTATCATACTTTAAGGCTTTAAATAGATGCGATTTCATGTTATGTCACCCAAACAATATTAATGTTGGGATGACTTAATTATGGCGGTAAGTACTGAAAACGTGAATTTATTTATTAACAGATCTACGAAAATGTGCGGGAGTTATAATTCAATGGTCAAAACGGGCACACACATGTCTTTGTTTAAGGTATCATTAGACGACTTTTCCATCAGTAATTTAAATTGGAACAGCAGGGTGTTAAAGATAAAATTTTATTACCCCTGTATTACATAATATTACACAATTTGTTTTGTACACTGCCTTGGTCAGGCGGCAAGTGTCAATCAGATTGGCACGCGAACGTTTGTTCATTCAACCGGGATGTTTAAATATCATGATATAGTTAATAAGTTACGCTTATTAAAATGGTAATTTATGTAACTTTTAAATATATCGATCAATGTTTATGGATTTTGAGAAGAGAAAAATTGCGTGACGTGCATTATTAAAAATAACATGTATTACGAATTTACGAAGAAGCGGATAAAATGTGTGTTATATAATGATAAAATCTTTATTTATAGAAGGTAACATACAAAGTTCACAATAACAAGTACACTTATTTTCAGTATGGCCTTCTGATTTAACAATAACAAAGAAAAAAAATGTAGAATTATACAAATATTTAAAATCTTTTGGTAAATATAAAAAAGAAGAAAAAAAAATGTAAAGGTTAGATAATTTTTATTCATTCATCCGACTGACACTCATATTAATTATGGTAATTATAGATAAACTTGTATTGATTAAAAAAAAAGAGAAAAAAATGATGATATCAACATATCAAGAGATATTTTCCAAACAACCCATTTAATTTCTCAAGATTTTGAAAAAAAAATTATTTAAAATCTATTTATGTTACTTAAATTTTTCTGTTTGCATTACAGTCAAATCGGATAAAAATATAATCAGGTATATTGAACACTAAATATGCATTATCACCTGTTCTGATTTTTTTTCTGAATGATAATTAATCTCCATTTCATGTTATATAATTTCTTTGTTTTTAAATGAACTATTTCAACAGCAAATAAGTTGACTTTTCATTTGCTAATACATTTCCACATCTTCTTTAAAAAAATGATCTCAGTGTCAGGTCCGTGATCGTAAATTCTTAAACAAGTATCTTTTCCATGCCTTTTTACGGCATTCTTCGCCACAAAGCTAGAAAGTCATCTTTTCTATATATTCTATATATTTGTTGAAAGCTAGTTTATATAATTTTCTACCGTTTACCTTGAACTAATTCGGAATTGTCTATGAACTTCTACTATATTTCTATCTAGGGCGAAGCATTTCTTGCCCTACGCAGATTGCGCATGCGCGAGAAAATTCTAATTCCGGTCGATTTTTCATAGCAACGGACCGCGTCGTAAAAAGGTATATTCAAAGTTAATCACAAGAAAAGCATTGATGCAAAGCATCAAAGGGCGTCCAAGCAAGAAATGCAGAAAGTGAAGATGAACTAGTAGACATATGATGACAAGATATTCTTATAAACTTTTCAATGGTTAATTGGTTTTTACCAGAATGAACGGACGAAAGACATTGTTCATTATGAACTTTGATTGGCATGCTAGAGATTAGAATATTACTTGTTATTTCTTTATGATCGTGATTATTAATAGCAACGGATATACATGTATACAATCATTTATAATCCATATGTGTAACGCATGATCAACACCACACTTGTGGAATTGTCTCTTATTATGTTATCGCTATTAGCGAAGACCCCCTCTTAAGGTATCTGTTCACACTTAGTAAAAATATGACACTGGTTATATGACCATGTTGATCATGTTGAGCATAATTGTTTATTATACAATAATTGTAATATCTATTTTAATATAAAAAATACAGATTTTATGAATATTGTTTTCCTCTCTTTTTTCGTGTTTTATGTGCTATTTTAATACTGAGTTTTCACGTTTACTACTCTTATTAAAATTGTAAAATAAATTTTAAGAATTTAATTGTCATATTGACCGACGATTATAAGTCAAAACTTAACTGGAAATCAGTAAATTATGCTTAATCTTTCAATATATAATATTGCTTATTCTTAAACCATGCATGTACATGTACATTTGTATTTTTCTTTATCATTTTTTTTTTAAATTATCAATCAATTGAATAATTCATAAAATCTAATAAAATGAAACATGCTATTGTTGTTGTTGTTGTTGTTTTTCGAATTGTATGTATATGTATAGTATCACACGTTTATTGTCCGGTCTCTCCCGGTTTTGGAGTAGATGTTTGATATCGTTATTAATTATTGTAACCAAACTAAGTGACAAACATTCATTTTGGAAAAAACGTTTATTTATCTGTACAATATATGTTCTGTTCTGTAACGATATCAAACATCTACTCCAAAACCGGGAGAGACCGGACAAGAAACGTGTGATACTATTCGCCGGTCACTAGTAAATCCCGGTCAAAATAGACCGGGAGAGACCAGGAATTACCGATAGCAGTACATCCCTCTATAAATAGATTTTCGGAATGTTTAGGTCATCAACTCATCATTCTATTTTTTTTAACATACCATAATATCCCACTGTGTACTACAAAATGATAAATAAAAAAAACCGAAGAGACGGAAAAGGTTATTTCATGCATTGCGAAATTCTCCAGTTCGCTATTCATTGTACATATCGAGACATTTTTTTTTAATCAAGCACCCTCATACCGATCGGAATGATCGGCTTTTATTATGACCGACTTATTAAGGCTCGAGAAGTTGCTGTCGCCCTTTCACAAAATCTGATTTCATTCCATAAGGGCGCCGCGCTTCGGCGCGGACGCCAATTATCGGGGTCTACGCCCCTCGTGTTGTGTTCCGATGCTCTTTTTGTTACATATCCTACAATATTCCGTGCAATGCGTTTGCCGTTACCGCATGTCAGTCGAAATCAACATGGTTAACATGGTAACTATGTGAATAGTTGGCAATGTGTAAAGCATGTATATTATTCAGACTTACAAATTTGGTCAACATTCCGATAAACTTTGTACGAGGGTTCTCCAAATTGTTATGCAATTCGATGTGTTTTGTGAGGAGGTATTTAAATAGCGCAAAACTGTTTATTGCATTTCCTCCACGTATTCCAGCACATAATATCCACAATTTCAGCCTCTTGATTCAATTTTCAAAGGCATTTTTAGAAATTCCATGGTGATATTGGAATATGGCTGACCCAATATCTCTAAGGGATTGATATTTCCTTCTAGTAAAGTACTTGTTTCAGTCTTAGAAATAGAAAAAAGTCACAGAAAGGGCAAGGACCGATGAATACGGCGGGTGAGGAAGCTAAACCACATTTTGCTTCTATACACAGTCATGTACAATGGCTGCCTTATGACAAGAGCATTGTCATACAACAGCCTGACACCAAACAGGCCCGTCGCTGGCATTCGTTTGTTAAAGTATTTTCCAAGCTTTTTAAGTACAGTCCCTCTTTTAAACTTTCAATTGGCAGATTGTCATTTGTTACAGCAATAGGTAAATCTGGACCTAGATTGGTAAAGAAAATAACATGCATGACCTTTCTGACATTCATGGTACTCTTGACTATGCATGGCCTTTTCGTTTGTGTTGATAGCCCATCTCTTGTTTTGAAATTTATGCCTTGGTAAATAAAGATATACCCAAATAAATATGTCCTTAGCACGTATACCACTTTGGAAGGAATTATTGCAACTTAGCTTTGTTCGTTTTTGCTTGTATATTTTTTTATTAATAGACTAAATTTTGTTTATTAATAGACTAAACAAATGAACGTCTTTGATAATACAAAAGGTGATTTATCAATAGACTTTGATTTTATAAAACCTTGCACCAATTTCTGATATTTCATCAGAATCCAATGTATCAAACCAATTTACATAATGCAGTATTGATAGGCAATAAAATGGAAATTGAATTAGACTACTACTTAGGAAAGTCTCTTTTAATTTATTTCAATGTAATATATCTTTGTCAGTCTCTTTCATTGTCTCCTTGATTTAGTAACTTCGTTTATCAAAAGAAATATTGCTTGAATTTTTACAGCCATCTCCTTTGCAAATAATGCTCTGAAGATTATTCAAACGAGGACAAGCCTAATTCGGCTGCAAAACAGCCGAACCATGTATGATTTATTTTCTAAACAATATTTATAATCTTTTCATTTACATAATAAATACATTAACTAAATTTTACGGACTAAGTTAGAAGCTTTTTAGGAACTCTCTCCGTAATCAGTAT